CGTGGGGATTGCAATTGAGATGAAAAAAAAATGTGCAAAATGATGTAAAAATAAACTTTTTAATAAAAAAAAAAGTTCAAAAAAAAATATATAGTTTACTTCATTTTCATCTCAACTTTTCTACATTTCTATTTTGTTTATATTTCAATTTAAATGCATTTTAAATATATTTTTAAATTTCAATATAAACAAAATGTTTATTACAAAATTACAGGCATAAATTAAAGAGGATTACATAGAAAATTATGTCTTACTGAGGGTACCCATGCTTAAGAAGTTTAGGGCACAATGATACATAAAACAAAGAACTATAAAATAATATCATAAAGTGACAGTTTTTAGGTAAGGTTCATGCATGGACTTAAGACACACATGAACTCTTGCAATTATGCACTATTAACAGACAAAATGTTCTGCAGGAAGAAAAAGTCTCAAAGAATTCATAAAGAACCCCCAAAAAATTCAAAACCAATCTTTTAGAAAAATTAATTTCATAAGCAATGCTTAAAATAAAGGAAGTACTGGATTAGGAAATCAGAACCATTTTTCAAAGGATCAAGGACGAGGAATCCTTAAAATACACAGTATTTACTATTTACTGAGAATATAAGGGTACAATAAATAAACTCACTGTCTTCGTGTCCTGGGAAGAAATCCCACCATTTCCATGGCGAGCTGTAAACGTTCAAAGTCATGCCTCAAATCTTCCCCTTCCACCATAAAGCAATCCTGCTAATTTTTACAAAAAAGGGGAAGGGTGAAATCAAGATTATTGATTAAAATAATATAGCCAATCAAAAATACACCCATTTTAGGTAAGTACACCTCGTTAAAAAATTAGAGTTGGTAGAATATTTAGAGATAGTCAAATTCATTAGACCTCTTACCTTACTACAGGTATGCAAACTAAATGCATACTTAGCAAAATACCAGGTGAGTTACTGCTTTCTCCCTTCCAGAACCACAAAGGTGATGAGGAACTTAAGATAAAGAACTAATAATACTTATGAAAAATGTTCTGATACCAAATTTAATTTTGAGTGGTTCTGGAGAGTTCTGGGGATCCAAAGTATTTGAGAGCTCAATTCCACAAACAAATGTTATTTATCCAAGAAATATTTAATAAATGACTACCCAAATACAAGGCCAATATACTAGATGAGGAACAGAAAAATAAATTCTAGACGAGGCAGTAATTTGAATGAGAAATGGAAATGAGTTAATATAAAAATACTTGATAATTTATATTAGATATAACAGTTACTAATGAAGTAAATAACATGGGGATCAACCAGAAAAAGAAAGATGCATGTGTGCATATGTGCAAATAATATAAATCTTCTAGTCTGTAAAAAGAGTTGTGGTATTAAAAAAATACTTTATTTAATATGGGTGATACTTTAGAATAACCTTGTATTTCAGATCCCTAAAACCAAACATTAAAACTATATAAGCTAAGAATTTAGAGCAATACATGAATCTTTAAATCTCCTCACTATACATCCTGACAGTTTCTTATGCTTTTAATTTCAAAAACCTTTTTACAAATTTTATTTTTTAAACTACCTTCCTAAAATTTTGTAGCAATAAACATAGGAAGTCACTACAGCTCTCCAGCATCAATCAAAGCGAACAACACAGTGAGTAACTACTGAAGTAAATACATAATCACTGAATTACAAAGTACCAAATTGAATGAAACATTCCTTTTGAAGAACTAAAGCAAGTACTTACATATCTTATAATTATATTTTACCAAGTATTTATCCTATACAAATTGTGCTTTAGGCACTATAAGAATATACCTAGATATAAGTTGCAAAATCACATGCTAAGTTTTAGAATGCTGTTAAAAGACAGTCCTATTCTCTGTAAGGAAAAGTTTAAGTTTTAAATTTACTTCAAAAAAATTCTTTCTGAAAACCCATATACATTGAATTTTCAGTCTATAAAAATTTTGGTAAGCATTTTTAAGGCACATTTCTACAGATAAGTCAATATCCTACTCACTAAAAATTTTCCTTTAATTAAAAAAAGACTATGTTTGGTAGAAGAACTGGGGTGCAGGCTAGAGGTGTTAGGGGTGGGGTACAGCGGGACAGGCTGGTGAGAGGATTCACTAGACAGATTTGGAAATAGAAAAGGACGGCCAACTGAAATATACTTGGAGCAGCAAGAGAAGCAGGAGAAACAGGAGAAGTCTGTTGCATCATGTGGGTCAGCTCCCTGGCTGAAGTGAAACTTTAGGCCATTACAGTGGGCCTTCTTGGTAGCACTGAGACTTAACCCCAAGCAAAGGCCCCTAAAAATATTCTTAACCTTTAGTCAAACTTTCTAAAAAGGTTCTGCTTCATTTCTTCCGCCCCTCTCCCCACCAAAACTACACACAAACATTTTTGCTGTGAAAAAAACATGGAGATATTTACTGCTGCCTTATTTACAATTGGAAAGACATGGAATCAACCCAAGTGCCCAAAAGTAGATGACTGGGTTAAAAAGATGTGGTACATATACACAATGAAAGATTACTCAGGGACCCAAAAAAATAAATAAATAAACATTTGCCTTTTTTTTTTCTTTTTAAAGATTTATTTTATTTATTCACGCAGAACTGGGGTACAGGCCAGAGATGCGGAGGGTGAGAGGATTCACCAGGGACAGAGTGGGGAGCAAAACAGGCAGATCTGTGAAGTATACTGCTAAGGGGAGCAGAGGGCGGGTCAGGAGAGGTCTGCACCCCATATGGTCACCTCCGGGGCAGGTGGGGATGGAACTCATGTGGAAGTGGCTTAAACTTCCTTGTGCTGCGCCACCAGGGAGGGCCATAAACATATGCCTTTTACAGCAACATGGATGGCTTAATTAAGCTGGCTTAATGAAATAAGCCAGAAAGAAAAGGAAAAATACCAGATGTTTTCACTCATAGCAGGAGTATAAAGGACCAGGTAAGAAAATAATAATAAAAATGAACAACTGTATACATTTAACCAGAGTGGAGTGGGAAATGGTATCAAAAACAGTAGGGGGAGGGAAGTACACTGGACTATGGTGATGGCATGTGGGTGACCTGGTGATGGAAGCCCACAGGGATTACAACTGAGATGGAAAAAGGCACAAAATGATGTAAAAATAAACTATCATATTATTTAAAAAAAAAAAGATTTCTGTAAGGTAAAAAAACAATTTAAAAAATTTTTTTAAAATATATGGGGAAATATGCTTCCACTTGCAAAAACTCAATAATATAGCAATAATTTTCATAAGTGACTTACTTACATTTGCAACTAAAGTGAATGAAACAATGTGTGTATGTATAAAAAATGCTAAAAAAGAAAAAAGTAAACTGAAACAATAACTAATAAATACTTTTATATTTGTTGTTGTCTACAATCAAATGTTCTCCCGAAATACAAAGTGGTCTCAATGTACAGCAAAATAATTTTTGAAAACAGTGTAAGGAGTTCAGTGCCATCCCTAATGACAAAGGTGTTGGGAAGACTAAGGACAGAGTTGTCTATCAGCACTATCTTCATCTTAATTTAGACTCCCATTAAAGGAGACCTTGAGACTAACTAGCAGGGGAATAGGAAAGGAAAATAGGGAAGGCAATGTAGACCAAACAGTACAAAATTACTGTTAATTTAATTACAAAATTAAACTGCTACCACAGTCGGTAATGAAGTACACAATACTTTTTGGGCAACAGTATAAAGAGTGGAAAGAACTAGAGCATTTATATTTCATTACCCATCATTCACTGGCTAAGGACTTCTGTAGATAGAAGAGGGAGCTATTAATATCTAGGCATTTGTAGAAAGTCATGGAAGAGCACAAAGGCCTTCCAGAGTTCTGAGAAAAGACTTGATGGGGAAAAAATATCAGTACGAGTTGTTGGAAGTCAGTAACAGAACAATGAAATAGTAAGTTTCAAAGGCTAAAACAGGAATTATCAACTGTTACAATTCATTCTACTGAAAGAAGATAGTTAATTCCTCTATATATATTCAACTCAACACAACTCGTAACACGCCACTGCAAACTCCACAAACACACTAAAAAACTATCCTATCAGCCTATTTTTCCCTTTGTATGGGATGATGAAAATTTTTCTCATTTAGAATGCCTGTAAGCCTGGTGTGTAATAAACATTCACTGTGGATATGAAGAAGGGAAAGTAAAATGTAGAGTCAAAGTAGACATATTTTTCCAGTCTCTTTAATTTTTAAAGTTTAGAAAATCATACTTTTTGCAACTTACTAGTTGACAGTTCAGGACATAAATCAGAATAGGTGCTAGAGTTCATTTAAGAAAATAAAAAGGCTATAAAGAACACAGGTTTGATTGGAATCCCAGATACCCTATGAACTCCTTTAACCACCATTGGGGAAGTTCATAAAACTCTAAACCACTACTGCTCCTTGTATAAAGGAGCAGTATACTTTATACTAACCACAACCAGGGCTTTTATAATGATCAAATATTAAATGACTGTTAAAGGAATGAACACAATAGTGTCCTGAGATTATCGTTGATCATAACAATTCTCATTAGTACTATACCTGATAGTTGAACCCTAAAATTATTCAAAGCTTAGTTCAGAAAAATAAAAAAAAATCCTATTGAGACTAAGTCTTTATATTGAATTTATTCAGAACCAATATTAAGATAAAATTATTTGAATAGTTAAATACAGGGCACTTGAACACTTAAATACAGGGCATTTGCATTTACTAATTTTCTTCCACTTAACAGTGATTATAAAGGTTACCTGACATGTATAACCTCACTAATTCTTCAAAATACAAGGAGATACTTACGTGTGTGAGTATATATAATTATATGTACATTTGGGGGAGGGGAGCATGGAGGAGAGACCATACAGTTCTTATAGTTGAATAATTTGATTAAACAACAGTAATGGCCAAGCCACAATCAATCCAGGTCTCTGAAGCAACAAAAGTTGCTTAAGTTTATTTAAAAGGATAACCCGTCAGAAAACTTTATTCACTACACAATAGTTAAAAATAGGTCCCTTGCTAAAAGACATCGGTTGGAATCATTTATACAATTTCATTGAAAGTATTAAACATACCAAAAATGCCCTCTTCACAAAAAAAAAAAAAACTTAAAAGCTGTCTTTAACATTCCCACGTCCAATAACGTGAGTTACTTAAGTTCTTATTATAACTCAAAGGGAAATAAAATTTAGTTGCCCCAAATACACTATAATAGAAGCCTCTTAGAGGAAAGAAAAAAATTAACAGATTCTCAGAATGACTGCTTGATTCCTCAACTTGTAAGAAAAAAAAATTAATAAAAGTTTGAAAACAGGACAAAGATGAAAGTAATGTTAAGAAAGCAGAAAAGTAAGGCTACTAAGTTCTTCTAAAAGAAAAAGATGATGGTGATTTCAATGGTGACAATAATAGTGGAAACTTTTTATGTGTGCATTTTCCACATATTGAGCCCTATATCAAATTATATGTTTTGTCTAGCTTAATACTCAAAAAAGTTAAAGATAAAAACTATTATTATCCACCTTGAAGGATGATGGAAACCAAAGAACAAAGTGACCTATAGAGACTCAAAACTAATGAGTCTGTTTTCAAATCAGGTCTACTTCAGAGTTCAAATTCTGAAGTATCACTTAAGATTGTGCATAAATAGGCCTCTCTAATAGTGCAGGAGTTAAAGTCTCAGGGCTATCAAACCATCACCAGCCTCTTCAGCATGAGTTCAATCCTGGCCAGGGAATTAATCCACATGCAGCGCAGCATAGCTCTTCTATCTTACCCACTGCCCCTTTCAACAGTGAATTTCAGTGGATTCACCTGTTCTGCTCCCCACTCTCTCTAGTGAATCCTCACACCCCCTGTACTTCTGGCCTACAAACCAGTTCTTGTTTGCATAAATAAATAAAATAAATCTTAAAAACAGACTGTCCATAAATAATAGCAAATCAGTTCATAAGTTCACTACAAGCTCTGTACAGCAATCAAGTCATGTTTAGCCATAGGAGTTTACCAGTCTCCTCCCTACTTCCTAGTAAGTCATGGTGTACGTGCAGGGTAAGTGAATGGTGGATGTTTCTCAACAGAGGCAGAACAGCATGAAATTTTCCTACTAATATTTATGACAATCTATACAGTTGATTGTATAAAATTTATTGTCCCAAATTTTAAGTCTTAAGCCTTGGTCTATTATGAATGGCAATGCAATTAAACCTTGTTTCAAAGAAAAGATTAATATCCAGAATTTCCCAACTGAAGCGGGCTAGGTTTTCTTTTTTAAGATTTATTTTTATTTATGCATATAAGAGCTGGGGTGTAGGTCTGAGGTGCAGGGGGGAGAGGATGTGGTGAGAGGATTCACCACAAACAGAGAGGGAGTAGATTGTACAAATTGACTGGAATACACTGCTGAGGGGAGCAGTGGGAGAGACAGGAGAGGTCTGCTGTACCATATAAATTAGGTCCCAGGCCTAGGATAGAACCAGTGCTGCAATGGCTGCAGATAGCTTCATAGTGCTGATACTAAACCCTCTGCACTACCAGGGAGGCCCTGAAATGGCCTAGTTTTGTTTTAACTAGTGGAGTTTGTAATCACCTGCAGTGAGAATTAAAGCAACAGTTATTTCTAAAAAAGTTAATTAAGACATGTTATATTTCTGAGAGGAATACTGAATAAATTAGTTCATTAACTGATTGAGTATATGTTCATTAAACTTTTGTGAGTATTAAACTCTGAACAGGTATAGAAGTGTATATGTTTTTGATTTGTACATCTAATTTTTTGTTTTTATGATTACAAACACGTCCTTATAAATTAAGCAAAATTTATCTATTCATTTTGAATCATACCATATACACCATTAAATAACACAGTATGAAACATATGTAATTAAACATAATCTTATTTATAGGAATTTCAGTTCTTGACCTTTTGGAAAATTACATAAAGGCTGTAGCCATTCTTGATATTAGAAAAATCAAAGGAAAATGCGTATTCGTGCATTAAATGAAAAAAAAAAAACTGTTAAAGGACCCATTAGCAGAAAAGATGTGACTATTAAAAATAATAAATAGTGGGCTTTCTATGGTAGTGCAATTTTAAGGCACAGCACTATGAAGCTATTACTGCAGCACGAGTTTGATCTGCAGCTAGGGAGATGACCCACATGGCTTGGCAGACCTCTCTTGACCCACCTGCTGTTCCCCTCAACAGTATATTTCAGTAGATCTGCCTGTTCTGCTCCCCATTCTCTGGTGAATCCTCTCACCACTTCCCCCTCAACACCCACACCTCTGGCCTGTACCTCAATTCTGTATGCATAAGTAAATAAAATCTTTAAATAAAAATAAAAATAATAAATAGTATTTGTGTGAGTAATGAAACTACTAGATAATAATTGAAAACAATCCTATAGTTCATAAGGATTCACACATCTGAAAAATCAAGAATGTGATCACTTTATTGTTGTCAAAATAAATATTAAATATGGACTAAATATTAGCAAGGTGAGGGTCCTTTAATAAGGAACACAGACTAATATTTAGGTACTTGTACTGACCGGCTCAGAGTCATAGCAATAATCATCCCAGCTCTGTCTGAGGGGTTTCTTTGTTATCTGAAATTGAAGGAGATTAGTTATGTAGAAGTAGTAGTTATTATAGTTCTCTAGTTATTATTATAGTTCTCTAATTATATCTCAGATGTAGTGTTAAGCTAGCACTACTACTATTCAAAGAAAGTTATTTGGTGTAGCAGCATATAAAATAAATAAATTTTCAGATTCAAGGAGAGTCTGACAATCCTGGTGGTCTACTGGTTAAAAATCTGCTGCACTCTCAAAATTATTATATGCAACCCACACTTGGTATTGTCCAGTGATCTGAGATTTATATTACCTGCTAAATCCCATAGTTTATATAAATTCTATGAATACTGAGAGCTTATAAAAATTACAAAAAGATCTGGAAGAGTAGTAATAAACTCTGAATTTCTCTAAAATTAACAAACTATCACCAAATTTCTTGGGAAATTACTACTTTTTAAAAAGGAAAACATTTAATCACCCAATATAATACAAATAGTTTAAAGGGTAGAAAGCTAGTTCATAAACTAGTTCAATAGTTTTTCTTTATTGTCATACAATTATTAATCTTAACCTAATATTATTAAGTAAACTGAACAAATTTAATTTAATCTTAAATTTAAGATTTTATATAATTTTAATGCTATACAAATCTATCATGAAGTGATATTTTAAGTAATTCTGAAATTCTTGATATTTTATAAAAAGTCTTAGTAGTTAGTGTCAATATGTAATTTAAAATAAAGTCATATCAGATAGTATGCTCTCTATTATGGGAAAAACCTAAGATGTTACTTTCATAACCTTGAATTACTTACAAAATCTTCCTGAGGATTTTTAAAATTATGATAAAGGAATTTCTTTCCAAAGATTATATCTTGAGGCAAGCAAAAAAACGGATAGATTATCTGTTACTTAAATAATCTATTGTCTTACTAATTCAATAACATTGGTTTTAGAATTTTTGTTAATATAAAGAATAATTAGAGATATCAATGTAATAAAAACTTGTCAGAAGTTGCCCTTTTTATATAAAGTTTTAAGGAAAGATACAAATTCTCTAAATTCCTTGAATAAATTAATTTCAGGCTGGATGTTTAATAGATTTATTAAATCATAAAAGTAATTATAATTTAAGTCAGTGTGATAATATCAAGCAAAGAGGTACATAAAACTTCAAAGTATGCATTTAAACAAGTCCTTTAAGAAGTACAAACATTAATCATTGTAACATTCAACAAAGTAGTGTCTGTAAAATACAAACCAATTTGGAAAAAGTAAATTTTATTAAGGTGTAAATACCCAATATATAACCTATAAACAATCTATCATTCTTTTAGTCTTACATAAAGCAAAACTATCTTGTACAACTTAGAGAATACAATTAATTTTTAAATTTGAGGACTGCATCGCATAAATATTTAGATTATATGATTGAAAATGCTAGATAATATCCATTGCCAGGTTTGTTAAACAAAGTACTATAAAAAACTTCTGACTAGGTAAAATTGAATAATTTCCACATACTTTTCATGAATTCTCACCTGATTGAGATAATGATATTCTTCTGGCTGTTTAAGATGGAATGCTAACCTCTCTTCTTCACTTGCTCCTGCCAGGAGGTAATAAAAAACATGATAGTTCCTGTTGGAAACAAAGAAGTATGGTTTTATATTGAACAAGATTTATGGTAACTACTTAACAGGAAAAAATGAAACATTAATTAGTAAATTTTTCCACTTTACTTCATTTTAAAAACTATGATGGTAAATTCAATATTTAAGTACTCCTGAAAAGCAGAGTCAAAATTAGCTGCTGAATCAAAAAGAAGGGAGAAGACAATTTTAAGTGTTCTTCATAAAATCTATTAGAAAACTACCAAATTTGTATCAATCAACTTTTTCCTAAGACTGGATTTTATCCAAAAGCTTACAGGAACCTAGGATGTTTTTACACAAGAAAAACAGTCAAACCTCACTAAAAATAACCATCTTTATAGCCTTTAAACTTGCCATAATACCATTTCCTGCTCACCATCTCAAGAATATCCTTGAAAATCAGTAATTTTCAACAGTGGTAAACATGAATAGCATGGCACACTGCCCCACCCCCCTCACCACACCCCTCCAAGGCAGAATAGTATTAGAATTCATTCAGAATCTCACTCTCTGACAAATATCACTGTTTTAACTGTCTGATAGTTTTCCTGTAACAAGTAATGTTCCAAATTGTCTGCCATTTGACCTGATAGAGCAATAGCCCAGAATGAAAATCCTCCCCTGCCTCCCCACCCTGGGTTTTTGTGTAAAACAATTACAGACAAGTTTTTGAACTAATATGCTATCTAAAGCAGTGCCCCAATAAATGTTAGGACAACCAAGAGAATAATAAAAAAATTAAAACTTTTTAAAAGAAAAGCTGGGAAATAAAATCTCCACACAAACTTTGCAAAGTTCCAACATACTTGTAGAAATAATAGAAAGTCATGTTCATGTGAGGGACTACATCCATAAGGCAATCTGTTTAGCAAAAACAGAGATATTAAGTCTCACAAATGAATAAACTTAAAGGTCTGTACAAGCCAGAAGAGAAAGTTAAAAACAATTATAAAAGGCCTGACTATTACACAGAAAGACACATAGAGCCCAGTGGCACTAGGAAATTTACTGTTTCCAAGCATTTAAGGAAATCTCTTTAATCATTACTGACAGCTACCTAACCAAGCAGATACTTAGTGGCCATATGCTTGCAAACTTCATGAAGTTCAGAACAATTACAAAGCTGTGACTACAAGAACAAACACAAGAACAAAAACTTCCATCATAAACACTGGGAGGGGAAGAGTTTTATTTACAAAGCTGTCAGGTGATAATTCTAAATGTCCAATGGCTTTTTAAATGTCCAATTTTCAACAACAAAACTATGAAGCAGGCAGGCAAAGAAACAAGAAAGTAAAGGCCATGCAAAGAAGAAAAAATAACCAATAGTAATTACCCTTGAGGAGCCCAGGTATAGGATTATTACAAGGCAAGAGTGTTAATCAGCTGGTGTAAGTATGTTCAAAGAAGCGTTCTGTTTAAAGAGCTCAAGGAAAGTATTTGAAAAATGTCTCATAGGATGGATACTATCAATATATACACAGAACTTATAACTGAAGTTAAAAGGTATCTACAAGAGCTCAACAGCAGGCAAAAGAAGGAATGGTGAATCTAAAGACAAGTCAACTGAAATAGTCTGATGAACATAAAGAAAAAAGGAATAAAGATTATACCAGAGTACCACTAATTTGTGGAACACCATTAAACAAACACCAACACAAGCTTAACGTGGGATGCCAACATATGTACACTGGGAATCACCAAAGGAGCAGAAAGAATATTTGACAAATGATGACCCCAAAGCTCCAAAATATGCTGGAAGTATATTAATATGTACACCCAAGAAACTCTATGAACTTCAGGGGGGAAAATTTCAAAAAGCTCTCAAAGAGATGCATGAAAATAAAAACATAACAAATCAAATGGCAAATTTTCAAAGCAAGAGATCTCTAATCAAAGGATCCTAATACAAGATTAACAGCTGATATCTCATCAGGAACAAAGACAGATGAATAACACATTTACAGTACACAGAGAGAAAAGACTATCAGTCAAGAATATATATCCAACAAAACTATCCTTAAAAAACAAAAGGTATGGCCCTCCCTGGTGGTGCAGCGGGTTAAAGCACAGCACTGAGAAGCTAAGGCCACTTCCGCATGGGTTCGATTCCTGCCTGCCCCGGAGGTGACCACATGTCGTGGCAGACCTCTCCTGACCCGCCCGCTGCTCCCCTCAGCAGTATACTTCGTCGATCTGCCTGCTCTGCTCCCCACTCTGTCTCTGGTGAAGCCTCTCACCACCCCTGCACCTCTGGCCTGTACCCCAGTTCTGTATGCATAAATAAATAAATCTTAAAAAAAAAAAAGTAAATTAGGATATTCCCAGATAGACAAAAAAGAAGAAATTTGACATTAGTAGATGGACCTGGTAAGAAATGCTACAGGAAGTTTTTCTAGCTGAAATTGAAGATCTTAGACAAGACTAATTTAAACATGAAGAAATAAACAGCACCAGTAAAGGTAGCTATATGTACAGATATGTATAGCTAAATATAAAAGAAAATATAAATTTATTTTGTATTTGTAATATTTCTCTCCTAGTAGATTTTAAAGACAACTTCATAAATTACAAATTACAAATATATATTGATGAGCCTACTATTATAAAGATATCATTGCACGACAGTAGGTAGCAAAAAGGAAGGGGAAAAAGAACAGTACTACATAAAAGCAATTATTTGCATACTGTCAAAATTAAGTTATTAATCCTGGTCAGATTCTTAAAATGCAATAGCAATTATCAGGCAACCATTAAGAAAATAACTATATTTATACAGAAATGCCAATGGAATTAAAATAGTACATTAAGAAACATCTTTTTAATACAAAAAAGGCAGTAATATTAGAACACAGGAAGCAAAACATATACAAAACAAAAAAGGTATTAGTATTTATGAATCCAATCTTTGTAATTAATAAACTGTCAGAATGGAATTTTTTCCAATGAATCTAACGGCATACTGTCTGCTATAGGCTATAGGCAAAAGGAGAGAAAATACCAAGCCAATGTAACTAAAGAATGTGAAAGTCTATAATAATCTTCCATTTAAAGTGGGGATTTATAGGGTAATAAATCTACTGAAAATATCATCATAAACCAAAAGTTTATGGTTGCGAACTATGATTTGCTACCAGGATCAGGTTACAATTTTGTACCACTCTGAGTACAATGAGTATCATTTTCACACCATAATAAAGACAAAAAATCCTAAATTGAACTTAAGTCAGGGACTATTATACCATGTTATAAATAACGTATTCTAAGTCAAAAATCATTGCTAAGTACAAAAAATACTATAATGACAAAAAGTCAATCTATCAAGAAAATATGAAATTGTAAACATAAATGCAACTAATAAAGCTCTCAAATACATGAAGGAAAAACAGAATGTACTGGAGATATAGAAAATTCAACAACATGCTGTGATATTTCAATCCCTCATTTTCAATAATGAATAGAACTAGACAGAAGAGCAACAAGGAAAAAGACTTAAAAATTCTATATAATTCTATACAACAGGAGGACACACATTTTCTCAGTATCCATGGAATATTTTCCAGGAGACACAATGTTAGACTACCAGACAATTCTAAATTTAAGAGAAGGGAAATCACACAAAGTATGTTCACTGATCACCTTACAATGAAATTAGAAATCAGTAATAGGATTTTTCAAATTTCACAAATATGCTAAAATTCAACAAAATATTTCTAAGTAAACAATGAATAAAAGAATAAATCATACTGGAATTCAGCGAATACTTTGAGATGCTGGTTGTTTGTTGGGGACGGGGTGGAAGACCAAACTAAATGCAAAGAACAAAGAAAATAATAAAAAAGCGAATAGAAATAAAATGGGGAAAATGGTGGGGAAAAAAATAACAATAAAACCAAACTTGGGTCTTTAAAAGGATCGACAAAATTGACAAACTTTTTTTTTTAAAGACTTATTTATTTATGCATACAAGAGCTGGGGTGCGGGCCAGAGGTGCAGGGGGTAAGAGGATTCACCAGAGACAGAGTGGGGAGCAGAACAGGCAGATACTGAAATTACACTGCTGAGGGAGCAGCAGGTGGTTTAGGAGAGGTGTGCTGCGCCATGTGGGTCGCCTCCAGGGCGGGGGTCGAACTCCTACTGAAGCGGCC